AAACTCACCTTTGGAAAACTCTTTCTTCATGGTGAAAAATCAGACATACTATCTTTTTACCTCATTTCCGGGTTTTCGCCATGAAGGAAGAGTTTTCCAAAGGTGAGTTTAGAGGCAAAAATATGGCAAATTTAATTTCCTAAATTTTATCTGCTGGGTTCAACTATGTACAAATCGATCTTCAGGATAAAAAATAATATTTACTGTTTTTTATCCAGAAGCACGATTTCTGAAAATCTGGTCCCAGCGCACAGAATTTTGAAAATTAAATTTGCTACATTTTATGTTGCAGATTTAACTCTCAAAAATGCTTTTCTCAACGAGAAAAAACAAATCTCTAAAATATGTTCTGAATGATTTCATCACTCATCAACTACTATATGTGTGCCTGGTAGCTTAGTTGGTTAAAACGTCGCGTGTACTTCTAATCTCAATTCCGAGTGCGCTAGTCAGCGAGTTCGATTCTCGTAGNTTAGGCATATATTCTTTTTTCTTACTTTTGAAGTTAGCTTAGAGTGCCCGGTTAACCGGGCGCTTCAACCACTCGGTTAACCTGTAAGTTAACCTAGTTAATAACCTCTCTCTTATCAAATATTTTTCGTCTTCGGATCTAGCTTAATCGGTCGGTTAACTGGGCACTCCAACCGCCCGGTTAACCTAGTTGATAACCTCCCTCGTACCAAATATCTTTTGTCTTTGGATCTAGCTTAACCGGTCGGTTAACTGAGCGGTTAACCTAGATGTCAACCTCCCGTTCCTACTCGATTATGATAACCTACTGCTCGGTTCACTACTAGGTTGGAGCTAGGTAACTAGGTAAAAAGGTACATTTAGCTAGATCCATCAAGTGAATAACCGCCCGGTTACGTATGTGTTGGAGCTAGATCCACTAGATAGAGAATTTTTGCTTGGGATGTCGAGCACGGTCCAAAAGTTATTCGTCAGCAAGAAAATATTACAAGATCATGATGTACAGTATGAGAATAACGATTTTTCTCAGCTCCAGCCTTGTAAAAAGATATTATAGTTATTATTCTGACATGAGGAGAGAACACGGTCACATTTGGCGCCGTCTTCACTTTGGCAAATTGCAGGAGTCGAGATTTTGCCTTAGCTCTGTCAATATATCTTTTTACATGCTTTCCTCTCCTCCTTGATTTTTCTTGAGTGTCTATATATATAAAAAATAAAGAAAAAGTAAGAAAAAATAAGAGAATGCAGCAAACAAAAAGTGCTTGTAGTCACATGTTGACATTCACTTGCGAGTACCACCACGTGAAGAATGCGACGCTTTCTGTCGATACTGTTCTTTTTCTCTTCTATTCTGTTCTCTTTCACTGTTTTTTTCGTGTTCTTTTTAACTGCGTGTTGAGGCCCTGAATGTGATTTTTTTCTGTATTTGCACGGTATCATACTACCTTTTACCTGTACTTCTATCAACTCTATTGTAGTTTATGACGAAACTCGTGTTTCTGGCAGTCTTCTTGACGACTGCCTATCCATATTCAGAATGTTATGGTCTTTCCAAATTATCGAGCCTTGATTCTCAACGAAACTCAGGTAGTGTACGATATTCAGATATTGATCAAGTGTAGTTAACTATTTGTTTACCATGGCTTCTCCAAGAGGTGAAAGAAGTTGCATTAGTTCTGCCTCGAACAGTAAACTATCACGAAGCTCCCCTCATGTTAGAAAGCACTAGAAAATCAGATGAAAAAACAATTATTTTGAAATAATCTCGAAAACTCCTTTATTTATAGTCCTTGACAAAAGCAGGTACACCTGTTAAAGGGAAGCTAATTTCTAGGATGTTTAGCTGATTTTTATGTGTGTTTGTGTGACGATAAACCCTGATCACAAACACCAATCCGCCACCGATTTCCGACGTGCGGCTAAGCCATGAATCGGACACTGTCTTCATCTTGAGGTCAACATATCGCAACCACTTTGGCACTTCCACTTCCGAGTGACCTCTCATTCGAGAGTGCAATGTCTCAGCTTTTTCCAGTATAAACTGCATGAGAAATCATTGACAAATGACTGAGATATAATTCTCTCATTAGAATCTTCTTTCTAGCAGGGTGGTTCAGCTATCAGTCGATTACCTATTACTCCGTTTAGTTTTGGTCTATTTACTTGAAAGTTGTTGGCGAGTGCGAACAGGCCCAAGAGTGTTTGCTAAAAGTTTCAGAACTTCAGTTTTCGACGAAGCAGAGATGCAGTTAGATCATGAGGCCACTAATGCGCGATTCACCGTACACTCAAACCTTGTCAAGATGGGGCGATCTTTGCATCCAAGAAACTGGACATGCGAGACTGAATTTAACACTAAAAAACAGCAATAATGTGTAAGAGAGCCGCTAAGTAAACAGTATTTTTTTTCAAGTCCTACGATGGTTTCCTGGATTAAACGAATGGTCCGAAATATTTTCTTATGTAGTCCACTTGCTGCTTGGATCTGAAACTAAGAGTCCATCTTTGCATCCTCTGTAACGTGCCTTGATTGTATAGGATATTTGTAGGCTTACCTTTATGCTTTTTTTAATTTTATAGGGAATACAAAACTATCGGGTAACAGAACACTTGCTGTATACAACAAACTAGTCGGAATCGCTTCAACAAACGTACCAGCCTATTCGAATGGAAATGACAGCTTCATTTCCGAGGAATATAATTATCTGTATGGCGTATTCATGGGAATAAAATGGCAATGCGTTGAATACGCACGTCGGTGGCTTTTCATTCGCAAAGGCTGCGTTTTTCAAAGTGTTGATGCCGCTAATGACATGTGGCATCAACTGGTTAACGTCCAACGAGTCGCTGATGGTCAATGTTTTCCTTTGAAAACTCATCCAAACGGTTCTCCGAACCCACCTAAAATTGAATCTTTGATTATCTACAGTCGTGGTCCCGACATGCCGTTCGGACATGTTGCCGTTATAGTTGAAGTCGTACCTGGTTTTGTTCGAGTTGCTGAGGAAAATTTTGATTCTTACTACTGGTCGAATAGTTATGCTCGGCAAATTCCATTGGTGCTTAAGAATGGTAGTTATTACATCGAAGACGATTATAACATTTACGGATGGATGTCAGTCGAAGACAATAATCAACTGAAACCATTGGATGAATCGGCAATAAATACCATTATTAAGCAAAAGCAATCTTTTCCTGATTTTACTTGTTCTACAAGCGCGGTCCGTCAGTGCTCTTCATTGTATCGTTATCTCTCCTTCTTTCTGTGTGTCTCTATTTTGCTTTGGCTTTTTGTTAACATTTCCCAACTTACAAAAAAATCAGCTGTGGTCAATAAACTATGCACCGTTTAAACCATATTCTCGCATTGCTCCTTTGTCCTTAGTGTGCGTTTGATGAGATCTCGATGGACAAAATCAGTCTTGATTGGCTCATTGATATTTTAAATTTTCAGGCTTTTTCCAGCTTTCAGAGTAGTTTCAAAAGTGCCCAGAGCTTTCCACAGTAGGTTTTGTGCTTGCAATTTCGGCAGAAGATGAGCCTATTTCCAAGGTCCTCAGTGTGTCAGAACATGCTGAATTTTGAGAAAAAACTTAGCATACCCTACGGGAAATCATATCATCTATGACAACAAGTCATTCTTTTCTCAATAGAAAGTCATTTTTCCATAAAACAAGCAACAATAATGATCAGCAATATAAACTGCGTCGAATGATGCGCTTTTTACTCTCTATCTGCTACCGTTTTGGAGTTTTCTAGAGTCCAAGGCCGAAAACCACCCTTCACTGTAAATCCCTTTTCTGTAATACAGCTCAAGTTTTGGTATAAAAAGATTTCATTCTGAGGGGGGGGGCAGAACATATTTCGCAGGACGCCCAAAAATGTTCTACGGACAATATACTAATAATTTCAATCGTGAAACAGTTTCTGTTTATTGTTTCGAATTCTCTTCATTCATAATTTATTCTTTTCGTATAATGATTATGCATCATTCATATACAATGTTAATCGATCATACCTGTACGTGTTGTGCGAGAGGGATGGTTTAGCTAGTTTCAGAGAGAGCTAGTTTTCTGCAAGTATAACTTTACGCCACTCATTGTTCCGTCGTAAACCTTTTGTGTTTCCTGCTCGCCAACCACCGCTACAGCGATCGAGGTGCCAACTTAGCCGTTTAACGCCATCGTCATCTTCGTCATCTGATGGATTTTTGCTGTTGGTGAATATCCAAATGATCTCTTAGGTGTCAAATACCAATAAACGTTGTTGTACTTGACTGGCTGATTTTGAGGAGTGTCCAACTTCAAAATATTTCCTGGACCCATAGCAGCCAATGCCAACGATGTTGACTCTTTTCCACTGATAGCTCCAACAATAATTTGTTCATTCGAATATTGCATAGCTAATTCTCGTAATTCTTCAGTTATTGTATCATGATCGTATGGATAATCGTAAATAATGTACCAGTTGGGAAGTTCATCCAGTGAAACATTAAGTCGTATATTCCATTGCCCAAATTTTCAATTTTCTTTTTAAATGTGGCTATACTATCCAAACCAATCAGATGGTAAGGAGTAATCTGTTTAAGTTCAATTTTTTTCCCTCCTGTTTTAGTCATTTCATTCAATAGATCGTTTCTCACTTTTAACAACTGAATATGATCATTTTTATTTAATATTTCTCGAGTGATCACTTCCTCTACTTCGATGGTTTCTATTTGCTGGTTTATCTCTTTCAGTTGCTCTTGTGCCTCATGCAATTTATGTTGCTCATGGTCATTAATGTCTGTGAATAATTGTTGTTGCCGTGTGTCTAATAATTGACGTAATGATTCAAATGCTTGTCTATTCCATTTCTAGTTTTTATGTTTGAATTGCGGGTTTCATTTATTGCAGTTGCTAATAAACCATGTGATTTAGTTAAACCATTTTTCACTACTCTAAGCTCATGAAGGCAGGTTTCAAATTTTATTACTATCTCATCGACTATTAGTCGGATTTCAGCAAGTGGATTTGTGTCCGAGTAAAAGGCAATCGTGACAGACAAGTGTATTACAGTAACGACATCAATATTCAACTTTTACAACAGGATGATGGGCGAACATCGAACTTGACAGTTTTTGCTTCATCGAAATCAGCTGATGGCTTTGAAAGTCTTCAGCTGAATGTGTAGATTTTAAACATGTTGAACATAATTGCTTTTGGTATTTGTCACACCAATACTGTCCTTGCTTTTGTGAACAATTACCACATGGCTCTTCTAGAGAAGATCCCGCTATTGACATTTTTTTCATCAAGTCCATTATATCTCTTACTTTAAGATTGATGGGTAATGAATCGATGTCTTTTTCAATCACTGTGGAGTTGTCTCGAAGTGGAAAAGTGACTATACCGCTTTTGAACATGCTTTTAATGCATTCAAAGCAGAACGTATGCGAACATGGAACTGTACGAGGATCATTGAAATCATCCAGACAAACTCCGCATGTAACAATATGTACTAGCTGATTTGCTGTTGTCACATTCTCAGCCATTGCTCCGAAAAACAAATCGATTACGTTCTGCTAAGACTGTTGACCGCCAAAACAGGGCTTTAAAAAGAATAGTATGAGTTAGCATCTTTTCTCTGTGTCCGTATTGGAAAAGACAGTTCAATACTTCAATTCACAGAGCGGCATGATTTTGTTGTCAGTTAGTAAAAAACCTAGTACATTTGCTTTGAGTAAGGTTTGACTAAAAGAGTTTGTAATCCAGCAGTCTTTTATCGATGACCGATTACTTTCACCATAATTTATCCGGTTGAATGTTGTATATCTTTTAGGAGAAATTACGTATCACGTTGTGTAAGAGTAGTAATCTGTGGATGGAATTGTTGCTAATTAATTTTACTTAGGTAAGGTTCGGGACTGTCAGAAATGAATGAAAACATACGTTACCCGTAACCTATGCTGAAGTTCGTGGCGCTATTAGTTTTCAGATATATGTTCTATGTGTGTGGTTTGATTATCAGAAAAAGTATCACTTTGACAGTTGCGTAAAGTCGTAACATGTGCTTTGGTAATCGAAAAGACATACTAGTTTATACCTTATCTGAACGACCGTAGATGAAGCGTCGTTTTTATACAAGATAGAATAAGGTATTATTGTCTTTTCATATCACACAGTTCAAGATTTTCCTCATTTCTTGACCTGGACCAACTAGTCTACAACATAATACAAGAATTGTGTCGCGTAGCGGCATTAGTACGCCTCGACTTGCTTTTCACAATAAAGTATACAGAACTCGTGTACGTGCTCAGTTACGAAGAAAAACAGGCTAAATATCGCAGATAAAATCCTACGAGAAACCATCTTTCATATAACGCTCTCAAAAGAAAGGTAAGGCCTTTGTTAGCTATTGCACAATGTTTTACCCGGTCTTTTCTTCGAGAACATGATGCAAAAAGAGCGCATTGTTTAACTCATAATGAGTACGCGCGAGCAGGAATAAAATTATGCATTAGAACAACTAAATGAGAGTTCATTACAACAATTTGGCGCTAAATTCACATTTGTCGTATGTGCTCCAGTCTATTTCTGTCACACTTGGCCGGAATATTGTTATTAGAGTTTCTTTTCAATAATTATGCACGAAATTTCACTTTTTCGCATTATTTTTGAGAAAAAGAAGCGCTCTGCATAAAATTATAGGCACGTCAGCCATCTTGAATTCCTATTGGTTAGCGTGCAAAACGAATAAAGTATAATTGTACGTAACCATAAGCGCTTTTTAACGCAGTCGCTCTACGCGCCATCTTTTAAAAATACTAAATTAAAAGGCCTAACGACAGAAGTTTGCTGATAGCAGTTTTTAAATATTCTAAGAGTTACCTATTCATTAGTTTTCTCTAAAACAGTGCGAATATTTTGCGCCTAGTTTTCATATGCGGAGCTCGTGGATGTTATTGATCCATATCTTACTACATAAGGGCCGCACAAAAATTCTGACAGCAGATTCTGAAGCATCGTCATCGACTCTCTATTTCAGAGTGTCATTAGCTATGGCAAACTCAGTATAGACAAAATTTTCTATTGAGAAGGTGCAAAAAGAACGTTCGGCGAATATAATCACAAGAACTTGTGGCCGTTATATCTCGGCAATTAGAAATAATATCATTGTCAAATTTTCAGAAAAACTTCCTCCACACTTTAGCTACGTTTTACACTGTTTCAGACAAAAAAGTTTGGTCCAAATTGGCATTTTTCAAAAGATACGAAAAACTCATCGAAAATCAAATTTTTTAATATAACTAAAAAAGCGCTTCTCACTATTTTTTCCACTTCCACGGCGGAAATAAACGTTTTTTAAGGATCGACAAATTAAATGCTAATCGAAAGAAGTGTATTTTCCAATATTAAATAGTACATAATAAGACTTATATTTAGTACTGCTTTCACTATCGAAAGCTCCCAAGATAAAAAGTTACGGTACGCAAGTATTATTCTTTTTGAGTGCAAATAAAAGTCATCTCCCGAATCAAAGTTTAAGGCATGTCCCTCACATGAGCGAACCGCATACCGAAAGCAGAGGCTGGAGCAGATCACTTTTTTCTGGCATTTATTTCAGTTAGTTCCTATAAAACTTTTATATAATCCAGTGAAAGCTTGATAAAGAATTTTAAAACGAAAATGAGCTCCTAAATAAAGATCCAAATGAGAGAGAACCGAGAGCGAATGCTTATCCTTCTATTATGAGGACGTCGGCGATTCCCTTTTATTTTTTTTTAATATTAATCAACCATTATCATCTGATTCGTCTTCCTGTCCATGTCTGTTGTTGACGAGAAACTCTACTGATTGCTGAATTCGCTTTTTTCCTTCAGAGGGTTGAAACTTGTTATGACGGCCATATGCTAAGTAATACACTACCGTGGCTATATGCGCGCACGCTCTGACGGTACGCGCACCACTTTTACACTGACAGTACCAGGCTGGAGCTGGATCACCTTGGTTAGAACATTGCACCCAACAATAGTAGAACGTGCTGTTTTTGTGTCGGCTTTGGATTCTACACCGAATAATTTCGTCAGTTTCTTCTGAGACCTGAATTGGGAAATCACCATCGTCTGACATACGTTCCTCTGCATACTTAATACTCTGTTTAATTTGATATGACTCGAAAAAGAGAAGTCTCAGGTCATCTAAATCCATCAGAGGAAAATCAATATTTGCTTCATCTATTTCACTCCATCGTTGCCGTGCACTGATTTTTCCTGTTTCAATCAACGCTAAAAGAGTATTACATTTTCCTTTTCGATCTTTCATTGCTGCTGCTACAGCTTGGATTTCTAAAGAGTTATAATTTTGTATGATGGTTCCACGATAGCAATGCAAACACGCCGAAATAATTCTAATAATACAATATACGATATACGAGTTTAGGAAGCATTTGATTTTCAATTCGATAGCTAAAATACCGCCACTTTTGAATCGAGCATGGAAAGATTCAACGGTCCATCTAACTTTGGTCACCGAACGCGATTCATGCACCTCTAGAGTTGTATGTTGCTTGTTTCCTTTTTCTAAATAATATGGCATTTTAACCTCGTAACCTAAATCAGTGAAAACCTAAACAACATCTCTAAAGCCCCGGTCTACTATCATTGTATCGCCATCCTCGGTCCAGTTTTTGAGTGAACTATTAGTTCGTAAAACATGTTCCGTAATTGAAGCGTCGTTCTTTGTGCCGTGGAACGGTCCTATAATATCCAAGGTATAGTCGTTCGGTAAGACCATGGACATGAATTTAACTAAATGGCGGCTTCTTTGACCGGAATAAGTTTGGCGTTGAAACTCATGTGAGCTACTCTTTCCGAGGTAGAGATACGTGCCATCCCACATGATTGTACCATTGTTTCCAAAAAATTCATTTGAAAAAGTTGTGTTCCGTCCAAACCTGGTAGTCTTCGTCCGTTAAACCAGGATCCAGAAAATCGAGCCGTGGCGCTGTTGTTGCTTCCTGTATCAGCCGGCGATGATCGTTAAAAAGCCCTAACAATTCTTTTGGAGGTAATTTTGCCGTTGTTTGACTTCTGTTTTCTGTTTCGATTTCACAATCAGGAGACAGACACGTACCTAACAAATGATCAGAACAACACCTAACGCCATGTGGTGAATAATATCTTTTCAAGACTAATAAATCGAGCCTAGCCGTCTTTGGCATAACGACTGCGCCTGCCCAAATTTCCGCTAGACAGACCATGCCCAGAATCTGCGAAAATAACGTTTTCAATAGTTAATGACTGACTGGGTTCTGCTTCATTTGTATCCATGTCTTTATATTCTGAAACGGGAGAAATTTATGAGCCCAACTCACAGACATCTTTCTTCTCCCCGCCCAAAATGTTGCCCACGAGTCAGGAGAAAAATTGATGTGCCGTCGAATCGGGAATACATCTTCACTTCTACTAAGATTATAGAAGAAAAAAAAAAGATTGAATCTAATTACGATTCTTCTACTTCTAATGGAATGGCTGACCATGCGCATTGGTAAACGTGTAAAAAGCATAGGAAAAAATAGAAATGCTACTGAAATATGATAATTGAGAACGAAAAACAGTCAATTGAAACTAAACCAATAATCGTTCGCATTTTCTCTCTATACGAATGATAAATGGTTTACAGGATTAACTTACCGTTGATTATTTTTTATTTTATTAGGTTTTTTATTTTATTAGGCCTATACAAAATAAGAGATATATGTATTTCGCGCTATAATACATTTACTTTCCAATAATTAGATAAAATCTATACTAGTTAAGCAGTCTGATATGTAATTTACTTTCCATTGATTTGGGAAAGATATATAATTAGTTTATTAATTTACGTACCGTACGCAGTTTTGGCCAAGATGTATGTGCTACAGAAGCAATGCGAAAGCTTGTCAGCACTGTTACTATAGGTTTCGAGGTACGCTCTTTCCAGCTACTTCGGACGGATTTACTAGAAACTGAATCTCTGGAAAACCCGATCAGAGCCATTTTAGAGCATTGTAAAACACACCAACGGGCGTATCTCAAAATCTATAGAAAGAGTAATTGTAAGCTTTCGTATTGCTTTTATAGCACATGTTCACATGTGCCAAAATTGCCTACTATATGCTCTACAAGTGTAGCATTCCATTAGATCTAAAACTTTTAATAGTTAGAATATCATAACAGCTCTAAAATAATATATTCGGCTACGATGGATTTTTAGAAAGCGTCTGGAAATCCCAAAAATAGCAAAATATATTTTTTCACTTTTCTAGCTTTATCAAGACCCTGCAAGATTCAGTATGGTTGTCAGTCTACGTTTCCATTTCTTTTTGAGGTTATCTGAGGTCATCTAATATAAGGCTTGGGATTCCCGGTAAAACTGATACCACGCCTAACACTACAGAGGCTGAATCTACTGATCAAGATATCACACGTAGCTTACTTTGTAGGAGTTTCGACGAGCTTTAAACTGGTATAGCCACACATACCTGCTAAATATTCAGCACATAGCTAATAACAGAACAGTCGTACATTTGTAAAAGAAAATACGTAAATCATTGCGGCATTTTGCGTGTAAACTATTACCATATTTACTGCGAGTATGGCGCTGCTTTAGCAATCCAGGCAGAAAAACCACAGAATTCTTCAGCTCCTGGTGTTCAAAGACACGGAAAACTGCTAGTTCTTTTTTATTTTGTTTTCTTATTTACTGTTCATAACACTGAACAGGCATGGGACATGCGAAGTGAGTAGATTAGTACGGGCGGGAAATTTGAATTCTTGTTCAATGATCAATTTCATACCGTTGTAACAGGCTTCTGTCGAACCCATCCGCCCCTTTGACTGTCGTTGACCAAGTTTCTGCAATATTCTGTCCTTTAGTTTTCAACTAATTCGAGTTCAGCTGTATGACCCCATAAATAT